TTTTCATATCTATTAAAATAAATTTTATTATATTAATTATTTTATTATAAACAAAAATAAATAAATAAATAAAATATGATCATATTCTATCATTTGAGTAAGAAATTGTTAACGATATTCAACAACATCAGCTCTTTCATGTCTATCAATATATATTTTTTTATAATATCTTTTATATCAAAAATCCATCTTATAAAGCTAACATCAAGCTATACTTTTTCTAATTAAATAAAAAAGTAATTAAAAATATATCTTAATATAAAGTTCAATAATTAAAAAAAAATATTACATGCGTGATTTTAGTTTTATATTCAATGCCTAATTTTAAAAATATATTATCTGATATATAATTAATAAAATCTGATAAATAAAATTCAAATTTATTTATACACAAATAGTTAACAATTTTATGATGTATGTCTTTATCATCAAAAAGACTTTTGACTTTAATATATTTCTCATACATTGAAACAGAAATTTCTTAATTTTGTACTAACATACAAGTCCACTTTTAAAGTTAATGAGCAAAATATTTATTTTTATCTAATTGTTGTGCAACAAAAAAGCTAACTTCTATTTTTTAATATTTAATTAACAGCATTAAAAATATTGAAGTACAGCCCTTAATCGCTATTTTTGTTCAGATAATAGAATCTTATCTTAAAGTTTTTTTCTATAAATAAAATTAACTTTATTAATTCAATTTTATTATCAAAATCACTTTCTATTTCTGACTCTATAGATAGTGAATCAATATTATTATAACTTTCCAATTCATTTAAATAAGCATCAACCGTTTGTATATCAAGTTCATTTTGTATAGGAGAAAAAAATTGTGTAATAGTATTGCCATTTTGTATAGCCATTTTCTTTGCGGCTACTTTGCATCTTATTTAAGTTCAAATACTATTACCTATGTATCAAAGTGGTCATTTAGGTTTAATATTTTTTGTAATAAAAATCAGGTTTTTTAATATATTTTCAGGTTCATTATCAAGTTCAGAATCTGCCCACATAATCTTAACATCAGAAGATACTTCAGAATCTTTTTCAAATGAAGAACCCTCTTTAGATAATAAATCCTTTTTAAATGGAGAATCTTTGATGATAATCGGCTTATTCTTTAAAGATATTTGTTTTAAATATTTTTTTACTTTAACTGACATTCCATCATCTCATAGATGAAGTTTTACATTTTTTTTTCTCACACCTTTTTATAAAAGGTGTGCAAATTATGTACCAATAAAATTTAAAAAACAAAAATTAGGAGTTAGGTTATTTTTTTCATTAAAACTTTCATTAAACATTGAAAAAAAAGTGATACCAAAGTTTTTAAAATTAATATCATACAAAAAGAAAACTGCTAAAAAAAGATTAAAACTTTATTTAAATCAAAAATTAATCTCAATATAGTTTAGTTCATAAAAATGCCGACTTTTCAGAAATGCATATGATTAAGTAATATAAGATTGACCAATCATATTCATTTACTTCAGATATCAAATTTTATGATATATATTAGAAATAGGTTAACTTTAAATTCTTATTCCTCTCAAATTAGTAATCAGATTATAAAAATCTCTTCATTAATTTAAATTACAAATTACAAATAATATAAAAATGAAAAGATTTTATTTAAAATGTTAGTATTTATTTTTTAATAACAGATCAAACATAGCTTATAAAATTTACTGTGACTAGATGATATGAGCCAATAGTTATTTGTTATGCTATAAATTAAAATAAAGATATATTTTCCAAAAAAAATATACTTAAATATAATAAAATAATAAAAATAACAAAAATTATAAAAACAATTAAAATAAATAAAATAAATTATAAACGTTAAAGAATTATAAATAAAACAGAATAAATAGAATAAACAGGTTATACAGAAAATTCAAAAGAAATAAACAAAATAGAAATTATTGTTAATTATTATTTAATACAGTAAAGATCATCTAACATAAGATCATCATTGACTAATAATCTCACGTGATATTTAGAACTGTAATTTCTTTTATTAATAATTGAATTTTATAATAAGAAAGGATTTTACTTTAAAATAAAATTCTGTATTTACTTTTATTGATCATTGTATTTGACAAGTAGTCAAAACTTTTGTTTATAAAAGTTGAGATATTCCTAGTTTTTGAAATAATATAAAAGTTTTTACAGCAGTTTTTCTTTGATATAGATTTAAAACTGCTTATTTATAATCAATATCCTCTAAGAATCTAAAAGTTTTCAGCAAATACATATTCATTAACATTTTAATTCTGTTTCTTATTGCTTTTGTTTATTGATAATTTCTTTGAATTATCCTTATTTTTATTTTAGAATCATCTGTAGATTGATACAGATAATAGTATTTTTAGATTTATAATAGTTCTATTTATACAATGTTTTATAAAATTTCATTCATTTTTGCAAAATTTGATATTGATACAGAATAATTACAACTTATATATTTCTGTATTAATTATTATTTGTGGTTTCTATGACCATTGATCAAAATAACTTTTAAGTAAATCACAATTTATTAGTTTAGTAAGAAAATATTTAAATGATAAAATCTATTTATTAAAGTTTTACAAATCTAATAAAGTCCTTTCTATTTTGACTTTAATTTTCCTAAAAATTGATTGATTTGTATAGCATCAAATTACAAAACTTTTTGTCTTATGTTAAATGATATTGACTTAGTCAGGTATTTGTCATGTATTATCTTTTGTTTATTTTCATAACAATCATTATCTGTTTAGCTTTCTCTCTAATATCTGAAAGCTTTTCTATGATTTATTGAACTCAATCTACAAAATTTTATTTTCTTGATCAGCATAATCATCAAAAGTAATTTTGCTTCTTGTTCATATATTAATAAAAAATAAAATTATTTTAGTAATAGCTTGTTAAGCAGTATAATAAGAAATAGTATAAGAATTATATGTAAATCTCATTCAATTTGTTATTGTATGATTTTTATTAATGATTCTTTCAAAGTTTTATTAAATCTTTTATCTTGTCTATTCATCCAAGAATAGTATAATGTAGAATTATAATATTTGATTTCTAATTTTTCCATTAATTCTTTTATTATAGTATTATTAAAATGTATTCTTTTATCTAATAAAATTTTCATAAGACATTTATGTTTACAAATAATTTCTTTATAAATAAATAAAGCAACTTAACTTATAGTGACTTCTATTATTTCTGACTATTTAATAAATATATTTATAATTATAATAATATATCTATTTCCTTTAGGAGTTATTGATAAAAGACTAACAAAATCTATTCCAATTTAGTAAAAAGAACTGTAAAAAGGTATAAAATGTAATTTGTTATTCTTGTTTAGTCTTTCTCTTCGTTGATAAGAATCACAAATTTTCATATATTCTTTAACATCTTTATATATTTAAGATCAATAATATCAAGTTTTAATTTTGTTAAACATAATTTCTCATCTAAAATATTTAGCTGTAAGATCATTATAACTATATATAAAATTAGTTTTAATCATATCTTTTAAGAACTTGTAATAAATATTTAGACCTTCTTCAATTAAAATGATATAAATTTGTAATCTGAATTATAAAATATTTGATCATATCTTTATTAAATTGAATATGATTAGGGAACTTATTGTGATTTAAATATTATTAAAGTTTAAAAATATTATTATATATCCATTGTAAATAATTAAGCTATAGTCACAATACTTATACTTTCACTTTTACTCAATTATATTAAAAATAAACTTGAGATTTTCACTCATTAAATACTATTAAACTAAATGTTATCTCTTTAAAAATAATAAATATATAATTAATAACTAAAATATTTAATATAATAATATAAAAGTAATAAAAATTATTATTTAAAAATCTAATTTAAGGGTAGATATACAGCTTTGAATTTTATTATAATTTGATAAAATAATTGGAATAATAATTAGTCTATAAGAATTAAACAATTCATTTAATTCTTTTTCAGTCCACTTATTAGATATTTAAGGATTACAAAGTGATTGTAATAATTCTACTGCAATACAATAAATTTCGTCATATTATTGCATTTTTTTAGGAATGATCTAAAAGACTTTTTTTGTCAAGGCTTCAAAAATTATATTAAGGTAAATTTAGCCAAGTTTATATTTAATAACACAATTATATTCTAAATCTATAGTAATAATTTTATTACAAAGAATGTAATTAATAGAATAATCTACTACTATTATTAAAATATGTGGAATTAATTTTTTAATAAATTTGCTAATGATATACTATTATTCAAATCCTCCTGCAAAATCAACTCATTAAACTAACATTTTGTATTTTTAGGCATAATCAGCTATGCTTTATTTTAGTTGTTAACAAATTAATTCTAAGTTTATTATTTATTTATTTTTCATAGTAGTATTTGTGAAATAATTTTAATTTTCATCATAAGCTATTTTTCTATTGTTATTCTATTAGTTGGCTATATTAGTTCATTTAAAAAAGCAAGCAATTTATAAGGATTTTCATTGTCAGTTCTATGAAAATAATTGAATTTAATTAGATTTAATTCTACTCTATTTACTTAGACTACATTTCCTACTAGATTAGCATTCATAGTTTATAATATCATGATCATTTGTTAAATTACTTGTTCTATCTAAAAGTTATTATAATTGGTATTGATATTAAATATATTTATATTAAATGCAGATTGAATAGCAGCTAATTGGGTTGAAGTAATTTTAAATCTTATATTTCTTATATTAGATATACAGTCCCCAGCGAAAAGAATGGCAGTGCAATCTTTTACTATATAATTAACTTTTTTTTAAAGGATTTGTATAAACAATTATATAGTATTTTATATGTATTAC